GTTCCATAAAACTAAGCATAAGCAACTCAGTGAGTCAACAATTCCCCCTCTCCTAGGCAATGACCCAAGAGAAAAAGAAACATAAAAAAACCTGTACATATTCATAGAAGTTTTATTCATAATAGTCATAAACTGGAAACATCCCAGGTGTCCATCTAAGGGAAAATGGATAAACTGCAGTATATTCATAAAATGGAATTCTACTCAGCAATAAAAAGGAACAAATTAGTAAAACAAGAGAGATGAAACTCAGGAACATTGAGCTGAGTGAAAAAATCCTCACACACAAGAGTACATACTAGCAGCAGCCAGTTAGCTCAGTAGGTTAGGGAGTAGTGCTCATAACACCAAGGTTGCCAGTTCAATCCCCACATGGGCCACTGAGATGCACCCTCCACAACTAGATGAAACAACTACTTGATTGGAGCTGATGGGTCCTAGAAAAATACACTGTTCCCAATAATAAATAAATAACAGAAGAATGGTTACTTCTGAGGGTGGGGGCAGAGCTCACTGGGAAGGGGCAAGAAGGAACTTTCTAGGGTAATGGTAATGTTCTAAATCCTGTTGGGAATTTGGGTTACACTCATTTATATATTTGAAAAATACATCAGGGCCAGCTGAGTGGCTCAGTTGGTTAAGAGCTCGCTCAAGAGTGCAAGCTCTGAGTAATATGGTCACCAGTTCAACTCACAGCCTGAGCTGAGCTGCCAACAGGTGGCAGCATGGCTCAGCTAAAAAACAAAAGAAAGAAAAATACATCAAATGCTACACTTATGATTTGTGCATTTCACTAAATGTAAATTTCACCTTAAAAATTCCATTGGCGGGCCAGCCGGATGGTGCGTTGGTTAAGAGTTGCCTGGGGACACCAACTCTTGAACTGAATATGGAGAAAACAAGTTGACTCCATTTTCTCCTTAAGAACATACAACTCTGAAAGATGCATTAAAACACAGAAACACCTGGGCCGACCGAGTGGCACGTTGGTTGAGTTGGCTTGGGAGCTCAAGCTCTGAGCAGCAGGGCCCCAGTTCGGATCCAACATGCAGGCCAGTGACACTGCGCCCTCTACAGCTAAGATGGTGAACAACAGCTCAACCTGGAGCTGGGCTGCCTTGAGTCGCCGGCAACGGCATAGGCTGCAGTGAAGCTGCAGTGGGCTGCCATAAGCTACTGTGAGTGGCCGGCAGCCGACGTGAGCTGCCAAGAGCCACCGTGAGCGGCCGTCCAGTGGCTGGCGACCGGTCTACCTCACTCAGGAAGAGTGCAATGATAATACCAACATGGGCCAGTGAAGCGACGTCCTCCACAACTAGACTGAAGAACAAAAGGACAGCAACTTGTCTCTTCCCCTTCCCAGATTTTCCAATGCTGTTTCCCTCCCCCAACTCCCCAATAAAATATTTAAAAAAAAAAACACACAGAAACATCTAAAATAGAAGCTGGCACATGAATGAATGAATGAATGAATGAATGAATGAATGAATGAAGCAAATAGTTAGAAAGAGCTACAGGCATTCTTATTCAATAAGATGAAGGGCCAAGCTGAAGAGTTGGGAAAGAGTAGGGATACCTCAGCTATAAATTTCAGGAGAAGGGAACAAACTTGTTTGGCCAAGTGGCCTTCCCTCCGACCCCAGGAAGTCATCATTAATCTTTCACCTCCTCAGTAGGTGTGGTTCCAGAGTAACAGCTGATTCATCCAAAGGAATACAGGTGTCCTCCACCCCTACCACCTGCAGTGGCTCAGTTAGATAAACAGAGGTCTCCCTCTGGCCTCCAGAGATCACCCCTTTCATCTGTTAATGTCATTTGCTAATTTAAAAACAAGACTTGAGGACTGCCGCACAAAAGAGTTGGCTCCTGGTTATCATGCTAAAGATCCTATGTCCCTCTTGATAGGGAAATGCTCTCAGCCTGGAAACTGCTTTCCTCACCAGAGGGAAGCTGAGGTAGAGAAAGTGAAGAGGGAAAGAAAAAGGCACAAAGCATGAAGAAAACAAAATCCTGTTTGCTGGCTTTAAGTTCAGGTCTGCACCTGGGGCTCAAGTCTGCTTGGTCAGGGCACTCCAACTTCATGTCTCATGAGGCCCCATGAGCCCCAGGTCCAGGGGCCCTGGAGAAGGACCCATAGAAGCACAGTGGGTTTACAAAGCTCAAGGCCGTGCCCCCTTCCCTCCCAGCATTCTGTCTGAGCTGGCTGGCAATATTCCCTATGCCCAAATACTTTTATGTAGGCGTGAACCTTAAAAAAAATAATACAGCAAAGAGACCAAATTGATCTGATCAAATCGATCCTTTGTGTCTTTTTCTAGCATTTTGCTCATTCCCACAAAGTAACTGCAAGAATGGAGAATGGAGCAAGTACACAGTGTACAGCTGCGCTTCCCTTGTCCCCCTGGGTGCCCATGTTAGCTTCTGGAAGCCAATGCTGCCAGATTCCGGAAAGCAAGCCGACTGAAACTTCCAATTCCTCTCGTGGGGGAAAGCAGTTCCTCCCACTTTTACCACCTATTGGGACTCTGAGGTGGCCAAAGAGCTGCCTTGATGCCTCCTCTCACCTGACCTGACCCAGTTAGATTCCCAGTTAGACTAGTAATTAGCCATTCTATTCAAAACAGCCCCCCTCCTCATGTGCACCCATTGACCTGCATCAAATAAGATCTCTACCCATTTTGCTTCTCAAAATGTCCTAATGAGTGGTTTTGTACAAATTCAACCTAAATGTAAAAATTCTTATCAGGACTCTGTTTAAAAACTCAAAATCATTCCTGCTAAGAGACCCAAGTCAGGGGTGATAACCTAGCATAAAGATCACTGCACTATACACGCCATAGAATACAGTGTCCATGGCATCCTGAGTTGTCCCATGAGGCAGGCTGCGATACCTAGTGGGTGGAGAATTGGAGCACCTGGTGACGTGTTCCCTTTGCCCACTGCATCTTTCAGATGGCAGCAACCCAGGAACCAGCATTCACCACTGCTCACTGGACTTCAGGTAATGGCATTATGGCTGCCTCTGACTTAGCACAAGCCCTCTCTATTTCACCCTCAGGTCTAGACCCCAACCCCATCCACCCTGTCTGCAATATGCTATATGCTCACCCTTTGAAAGGGGGTGGGGGAACCAGAGAATGCAACTGCTAATTCAAACCAGAAAAACCCAGGACACAGAACTGAAAAGAGTTTTTCATCCAGCCTGTCTGAAAGACCCCTTCCCCTGTGAGAATTTTGGCTTCCAGAGCCAAAAACCTATTTTCTTCACTCACTCTAGCAAGTAAAAGGAGATGAAAAGTGTTTATGTGGCTTTGCAAATGAGCTTTTTTTTTTTAAAGATTTTTATTGGGGAATTGGGGGGATGGGAACAGTGCAGGGGAATTGGGGGAAGGGGAACAGACAAGTTGCTGTCCTTTTGTTCTTCAGTCTAGTTGTGGAGGACGTTGCTTCACTGGCCCAAGT